TGCTCATATCTATATCAAGATGCAGAGTGCAGATGCAAAATACACTGCTGAAATACACAAAAAAGAAAATAAGCAGGAAAAGGTCTTGATCAGAACTTGGTATGTCATTTGCCTTAATAATGTAACTGAAGTCATTGTAAAAATGTAACGAGGGAGGAGAGTATTTAACATTGTATATCTGCAGAAAGAGTGTGCATGATAACAAAAGTGAACATAACAAAGATTTACAGGAAAAAGGAAACAAACAAAAGTAACCACTGAGGCTGAAAGAGGCTTAAATGAAGGGCTTTACTAGAAAGAGGTTTCTATCTGTAAAACATCATATTCAAATGTCAAATTCTGTGACCAGTGAGTAAATAAAAATGGGGGGGGGGATAATTGTTGCATTTCTTTACACACACGTACATGCACACACACAAGTAGGCATGGACTCACATGAGGGTAAATCACAAGGTGTGGCTACTAGGGTCCCAATGTATACGCACATGGGTTTATTCCAAACAAAACAGACTTAAACATGTTTCTACAGTCATTGGATAATTGCATACATGTTTTCTCATTGATACACTTGTCTCATTAAGCAAACACATATAGATCCAAAATCAATGTCAGTGAGTCAATTCTGCCTCACACCTTCTAGTATAGGGTAGAACTGCCCCTTAGAGTTTCCAAGATGGTAACTCTTTACAGGAATAAAGATTTGATCAAAGTAGGGGCTTCAGTGGTCTTCCACCAGGCCAGTTAAAATTGAGGAAGAGAGGTCATCTCAGAAGGTAATTTTTGAAATATCAAAAGGAAATCTTAATAAACATTCTCAAAGAGCACAGGATGATCATGGGGCATACTATGAAGAAGTTGTCAGAAAATGAAAAATGCATTGGTAGAACAAGTTCAGAAAAAAAATGGACTGAGGAATATTTTCCCACAATATCTATTACAACTACTTATTTTTCAAGGTTAGTAAGGGTCGTTCTATGAAAATTTTATTAGAAAATCTAACCTCAACCACCCTACAGTCAACTCTTGCCCTTTCAGACTTCTTTTAGTTAAAGCAGAATAAAAAGTTAAATTTAAAAGAAACACAACTTCAGTCCCTAAAGTAAGCTAAAGCTGCTGCTTCTAGGTGGCATAGGAATGCAGAATTCTATGGTGAATAGTTCGACAGTTGGACACACTCTCTTCAGAAAGGTAGCCAGCTAGATGGAGGCTATGCTGAGAAACAGTGGCTTCATATTTTGCCATTTTTGTTTAATAGAGGTCTCTATGATTTTATAGCATTATTTGTTGACATCCTTTTGCGTGTGTGACATATGTTCATTTGTGAGTGTTTGACTCTGGTGTTTAATTTTTGTTTGCTTTATAGGAGGAACCAATTACAAGGATCGCCATATAACCTCCTCCCTGGGAGATGGACAACAGAAAATTAGGTGAAGGGAGATGTTGGATGGTGTAAGACATGACAAAATAATAATAATTTATAAATTATCAAGGGTTCATGAGGGAGGGAGGAGCGGGGAGGGAGGGGGAAAATGAGGAGCTGATATCAAGGACTCAAGTAGAAAGCAAATGTTTTGAGAATGATGATGGCAACAAATGTACAAAAGTGCTTGACACAATGGGTGTATGTATGGATTGTGATAAGAGTTGTACAATCCCCCAATAAAATGATTTTTTTTAAAAAATCTAGACTGTTGTGTTACAGTTTTCTTCTATTTCATCATTTTTGTTTGGAGGGGGAACAGTTCCTCAGCTTGAAGATTTTTATTCTTATTTTCAGTATTGTTCTTATAATAGGCTTGTTAATGAGTGCCATCAATTAGACTCTGACTCATAGCTCTCCTATGTCCCACAGGAGGACTGCCCACAGTATTTTCTAGGCTGTACCTCACTCAACAGCACTACGAAGAACGACCTGGGTATCAGCCCCATAAGATTACAACCTAGCAAATGCTGTGAGTTCTACTCGGTCACCTGAGATCCCTCAAGGTCAAAATGGACCCAAAGGCACCACATTTAAAAATCTTTGCATAAGCAGCTTAACATACACAATAAAGCCTTTTTGTGGGCTAGGCTGCTAAGGAGAGGTTTTATTGGATTTCTATGGTAATGGTGTCTTCTTCTGTTAAGGCAGGGCAATGCAGTTACTTAAATAAATAGATTTTGGAGGGAGAAGAAGATAACATTTAAAAATAAGTTGCTTTGTTTAATAGCATATTTTATTGCAATTATCCTAAAACTCCTCCCACATACACCAATAAGGTCACAATACTAAAAGAAAAAATAGATTATGAAACATAGAATAAAAGCTTCCAAAAAGCTTACATATCATGGCAAATGATCCATTTATTAGACTAGTTATATAATTCTCAGATAATTAAACAAGTTCTGAATTTTCTAAAATTTCTGGCCTGCCTGATATTCCACCCACTCCCATAAAGCTAAACCCTGTTTCTTCTTTAATAAACTCAATTACCATTTTTTGCCACAGAAAATATGAGACCAATAACAGGAACTAGAAATTGCAACAGCAATAAAAGCAGGCTGATAATGAATATGGGATACTATTGTAATTTGAACCTCACAGCTCTTCTTTAGTCGTCTTGTGAGTCTTCTGTACAGAGAGTCTTCTCACATATGCAGGCTGAAGCTGTAGTGCACTTATCAGTACCAGTGTTGTTATTTATTAGATAAATGCACTGCTGGAAATCCAAACTAGGAGCTGGTAACTTTCTGGGAAATTTAGAAAACACAAGTCACTGACCATAATGTGTTCGAATCAGATAAAATCAGTATTTACTATGTGCAATTCATTTCACCAAGTGCTGTGGCCAACACAAAAGTATGAAAACATTCTCATTGTTTTCAAAGATTGTATATACTTATAAAAGTTATTCTATGTGCACATAAATAACATATCAACTATATAAAATAAAACTTAAATTGATATACGAACACATAAATGTAAAAAAAATACCCCTCCATACAGGAAATCACACAAATAACATAAAAAACATAAAAAAATAACAAATAACAAATAACATAAAAAAGAACATATGACCTGCCACACAAAATATTTCTCTAAGGACAGTTTGGTAGATAGAAGCCATTCAACTATATGTATACGTATACATATAAGTATACAGCTATAGCTAGGGGAGGGATTTCTTACCTGTAGACACATTGTGCTATATGTAAATGTCAGAATATTGTGTACGCATATAATACGTTAGGATACTTCATTCTACTTTCATGTGCACTCCTATTTTAAAAACTACTACAATAATAAACTTATAAAGTAAATATTATTAAATACACTGATTGAATTTAATCCTTGGTTTGAGCATTGAGAACAGTATCAACAATGAGATTACCTTCCAACAGCAATAATGCAAATCTGATTGTGTAGCATTTCATATTTTGTAAAACCGGCCAAGCTTACCTTCTCAATTATGGAATACATAATACAATCCTTTTCCAAATTGGCAAAGGAATTGGGAAGTAGGGTGGGGGCAAAATTCTAAAGTTTTTTGAAAAATGAACTGTCAAAATATTTTTATTATTTTGCTCCAATTCATTTCATTAGTTCCTCATGAGTGTCTTATGTGACAGATATTGTACAGGTTTGAAATAAAGGAGCTCTTTCAAAATATAAAGTATCAATAATTAAAATGATGGATTATAAAAATAAGGACAAGTCAAAATTTAATAAATTAGCACAAGCAAGTTCAAGAATATATCTATATCTAGGTCTAGATCTATTGATATGTATCTTTCTGACTAGCTACCTATCGCTCTCTCTCTCTAACTGAGAGAGATATATAGCTTAATTTCAGCTCCATCAACATCCAACTTTATATACATCTGTGGTTCCATTTGGTGTTTTTTGCTTGTTTCTGTGTTTAAAGGAAAGCAGCTCTCCATGGTCCATGGTTTCTGCATCATGGTTTAGAAAGCCCTAAGTCAGAGCCCTGCTGCACTAAACCACGGGGAGGGTACAGGCAGATCGGGCCGAGGAAGTTTTTCTGAATGTAGATACGTGTGTGCATAGATTTTGAGTGTTTGGTAAACACTGCATTAAAATTAATTATAAAAAAATAACCATTGTAACACCATTCTGATGATTACTTAGTGGAAATACACAGCGATAGATATAAGTACATACATATGCAGTAATTTGTAAATGAACAATAACGAAATAACTTGAATCTCATGCAGCTCTGACTTTATGAATTTTAAGCCTGCAAAAGTATATCCTCGAGATAAATGAAAAGAAAATTTCAAAAGAAAATAATAATAGACTACGTAAACATCTAACAATTGTTCACAAAATAGAAGCAAATAAACTTAAATGGCAAATCACCAAAAGAAAAATGAAAAGATCAAGATGTATGCCTAAAATAACAGATTATAAATTTATAAAAAAATATATAGAAGAAAAAAGCTAAATATGATAAAATGGGCAACAAAAATTGTTAGAAATTTAGCAAAAAAAGCAATCATTAAGCATCAGAAAACACAGCTTACAAGAAAATTGTGTCCTATCAAATTGTGAGCATACTTAAATGATTATCTAAAATTGAACAAAATGCTTCAAGAATGTGACCTATATTGTGCTATAGCTGTCTTATGCAATGTTTCTGAAGGACAATTTAATAAAATGTATTTAAATTCTTTAAATAAAGGATGAGAAATAATAATTTGAACTTCTTTTTATTAAAATACCAGAGATGCCCCAAAATGCAAATATAATCACATGCTTCCCATATTATTTTTATGATTAAAATTTTTAATCAGTCAAATACTCCCGTAATAGAGGCAAAGATACACCAATTATGAAATATTTGGATGATTTTTGACCTATAAAATTTCTCATAATGTAAAATAGCCAAAACAAGAAAAAAAAAAACAATCAATAGTTTGTTCCCAGGAATTTTCTCTGTTTCTACCAGTTTTTAAGGAAAAAGCACTGAGACAGGCATGAAGAATGAAGCATTATGAACTTACAGGCCGGGAGGTAGGTAATCATCCTCCCACATCCACGTTTTTTTCTCCTTGTTATAAGATAGCCCAACCCAAGTACGATTTACAGCAAGCAACTTCAGGAAATTCTGCATGGATACAAATCCATAAAGGTGATTCTCTAATACTGATAACTGATTAGAAATGAGAAATAGACTGCTTGTGTTAAGTGAGAATTGGAAGATCATAAAAATAATGGGACCTCCCCATCCCGCTGATAAACACTGGGGGTGGGGGGAGTTCAGCACTACAATGTCTGAATTTCTTTAACTGAAAAATTAAATACAAAGAAAAATAAATAAATCCCCTGCAGACTGTTTCTTATTCCACAGGACACTGCCGCAACCTTAATTACTTTGGTAATTAACTAAATTATTTCCTTAACTATGTTCTTTGTACTATTCTTCAAGCTTGAGATATATCACCCAACAAAAATGATAACGATCTTTCATTGGGGTTTGGGGGTAAGGTCAGATCAAGGTAAATTATGCATGCAAATTCTATGATGTGCAAGAAGGTCACCAGGGCTATGACAAAGATTAGAGCAGGGTAAGAGGGACTGAGATAACAAGGGAGGTGTCTTGTCTGGGGAGGGTGGGTACTGAAACAGGTTGCAACAGGGCTGTTTGACAGGTCTTTTCAGGATGATAGTCTCTAAGCGCTAGAAGTTGGTGAAGTAGTTGAGCTTGATTGTACTTGGAGGAAGCTGACTGAAGGCAGAGGGAATGATGAAGGCAACAGTCCTACGGAGCGTGTGCTTGGTGTGCTTAGGAAAAGAGGTGTGCTAGTTTCTGCGGTGCAGTCAACTTGGGAGACAGTAGAGAAAATGAAGTGAGAGAGTGTCTCTTCCCGTTATTTTAGAGCTACAGGTGCAGCCTCCCTTCAGCTAATGAGTACTTAGTGCTTCTCTCCTAGAATAAAAAATGGTGTTGAATCTCACCAGTAATCCCCGGCTGCTTTCTTTCTTTAAAAATGTAGCATTCAAACGGGCACAATGATCAGAACAGTTCAACCAAGAAACCGGGTCTACAGTTTGCTGGTAGCAATTCCCTCTGTATTCTATCCAGTGGCTCAGAGGATGCCCACACCTTCCTAAGAAACAAAACACTTGTCACAACTCGGAATGCACAGAATCGCACACAGTCGTCTAACTTTTGTTCAGAATTGTTATGCGCCTCAAGTGGTCTTACTTCCGATTTACCTTTGTTGGTGGTAAGTGCTTGCAGGGCCTCAGTGAGATCCTCACTCTGATTCTGGAGTCTTTCTATGGTTGCTACATGGGACACCAAGACAGCGTTAAACGAAGACGCCATTGCAGCTAGCTTTCATACCAGCTCAAAAGCCATGGCAAATAATAATAATGATCAAGTGACATTAGGCAAATAATTGTATTTCACTCTCCTTCCCAGCCCTAGTGGTGTGCTCCACATGATCAGCACGTGGAAACCACCAGCAGCTGCACTGGATTTCTGCTGAGCTTTCGACTCCCACGAACAGTTGCCGTCTCAGAAATCCACATAAGATCACCGTGAGTCAGCGCTGACTCGGTGCCAGGGAATTCGGTTTGGGCCTGGCTGAATTCATCTAATTTCTACATAGAAACAAATGATGTCTTAGAAACCAGCCTTTTCACCTGGCCAGTCAATAAAGGACTCTGGAATCATTGTCTTAAGTGTTCAATGGCTTGCAAGCAAAAACTCACATAAAAAAGACCTTTGTGGAATATTTATTTAAGTTGATATTTTTAGATCATGATTTAATTAGCACAAAAGAAGCGCTGTGAGGTGATACTTCAAGCTCTTCTCTGTATGAATGTAGACACTACAAAACTACAGTTTATTTTCAGATACCTCACTTCTTGCGTTAGCATACTTCCAGAATGAACACCTGACACAGACCTTAAAATTAGACACTTTGGCGTATTGGTTTATTTTCTGTTCATATGCTTTCCTCTAAGCCTCCCAAGAGCAAGATCATAGTGTATTTATCTGTGATCACTAGCTTGGAAAGGTGTTGTAGGGCCTATTTAATGTGAATAACTAAGTGAATGAGCAATCTACATCATTAATATAGAAGCTACATTGGGTAAAAAAGATTCCATCCAATGTGAAAGATAGGACTTGAATAACTCAAAGAAGGAACACCAAGACCCAACTCACAGCCATGGAGTCAGGGTTGCCACACAGTGACCCTGCAGGACAAGGCAGCACTGCCGCCGTGCGGTTCTGAGACTGCCGATGGGAGTAGAAAGCCTCATCCTGCTCCCCAGAGTGGCTAGTAGTTGCTCATTGCTAGCCCAGAGCATAACCCTCTACACCATCAAAATGGCCATGACACTCCATTAGCGAGCTCCATATTGCAGGTGCATCCTCTGTGTCAGATTTGCAACAAGAACAACCATCTGGCGCTGGGCCAAGGTAGCTCATTCCATCTCTAATAGTACCTTTATTATAGTCAAGACCTTTTTGGATATCAATAAATGCTTCTGCTTTCCTTTGGAAGGCCTCCATCCATTCATTAAAACTCTTCAGCTTGCTCTCCGATGCCTGAAGATTTTGAAAGTCTAGAACAAGATTTCAAAATACATATAAATCACGTGTACAAATAAAACAGTCATTTATTATGTTATAGGGTTTCATTATTTGTACTGATTTTCCTTAATATACTTTCCTATTTATATTTTCCCAAACACTATATGGACATTAAAGTATATTTTGCTTTATCCTCTATTATTTCTAAAAGCAATGCTTGAATCTGAAATATCACCTCATCTCAATTACTTATGAGATGTTTGAATTTCAGCGTTAATACTAACAGGATAACAATTCATCTCAAAATAGATGATGACCAAAGTCCTCAAATCTTTTTATATTATTAGTGGTTGATTTAACATCTAGTATTTTATTTACTAATTAAAAATTTAGAATTTTGAGTTTTGTTTTTTTTCCTTTTTTTATAGGGGCTAATACAACTCTTATCACAATCCATACATACATCAATTGTGTAAAGCACATTTGTACATTCATTGCCCTCATCATTCTCAAAACATTTTCTCTCCACCTAAGCCCCCGGGCATCAGCTCCTCATTTTTCCCCTCCCTCCCCGTTCCCCCCTCGCTCATGAACCCTTACACTGTCCGACATCTCCCTTCACCCACTTTTCTGTTTTCAGTCCCCCAGAAAGGAGGTTATATGTAGATCCTTGTAATCAGTTCCCCCTTTCCAACCCACCCTCCCTCCACCTTCCCAATATTGCCACTCACACCACTGGTCCTGAAGGGATCATCGCCCTGGATTCCCTGTGTTTCCAGTTCCTATCTGTACCAGTGTACATCCTCTGGTCTAGCCAGATTTGTAAGGTAAAATTGGGATCATGATAGTAGGCGCCGGGGGGTGGGGGGGGGTGGCATTTCGGAATTAGAGGAAAGTTGTATGTTTCATCGTTGCCACATCGCACAATTTTAAATAATTGTTATCACTAAGAAACTACCATTGTTTAGTAAAACTTTGATATTTTATTAAATTATTTTATTATTTACTTGTAAATTATTAAATTCATACTTTAATAATTATTAAAAGTGTTCAAATTTTTCTTTTTCTGTTCAGTGTTGTAAAAAAAAGTTGTCCAGAAATGATAATCTGAAATGTGCCTGAAGAATTTGATAATCTGATAAGCATTTATGTCTGAGAGTCTAGACATCCTCTTCCCCCAATTAAGCAGACTTACACTGAGAAGCAAAGAATCCACACAACGTCAAGAGCACCAGGCTGAAGATGCCCAGAACGACAGAAATGGTCCAGAACAGAGCAAAGGTTGAACGGGAGGCTGTAGAACAGTGAGAGGGGTATCAGAACAAAATGTGGATTTTTCTTATTTGAAAGAATACTGTCATTGTTGTCGATTGTACATTATTTTTTAAATATGTCAATTTTTATGAAAGGAATGCTCATTGTGTAAAATGAGTAGGAAACACAGAAATGTTACCTGGGAGAAATATACAGAAGAGTTAATGTAGCAGGTGCAAGTACTCATTTTCTAAGGCCAGGTTTGACCTTTGACATGTGTCTGGGAACGTAGGTTTGGGGAGGGTGTCTCATCACCAAAATAAACTTTAAAAAGTAACTCATGATACAAATGATATGGAAGTATTTACATTGAATACCTTCTTTTTACCTGGTGATCTGGAATTTGGTAAGTGCCAAGGAAAAATAATCAGTTCCCAATAAGCAGTCCCCAGTGAACACCCTGGGCACAGAATTCCTAACAAGCGTTCCTGGTTGACAACATTTTGCACACGTTGTCACAATTTGTTCCTGGCTGAATCAAGTGTGTCTTCCCTGGAAGCAGTCCCTTGGGCATTTTTACCTTATTTCTCCAGCCTGCACACACATATCTTTTCCTTGGCTGCTTGTGTTTGCTATCATTTTTTCCTGATATAACCATAACCTATGTCTGGTGACCCCTCTGAGACAATCACCAAAACGGAGGCTGCTTTTAAAGACATTTGACGCGGGAGAATTTCAGTTACCAGATTCCTTTAAGTACCAGAAATAATATTCTAGTTCAGATGATCATATTTCCACTAATTTGTCCAAGTAATGGGAAGATGTTAATTTCCATCTGTGTTATTATTAAGCTAAAATTCTTCATATGAATCTAATGAACAATAGTATATCTCGTGCAACAAATAATTAAAGATTTCTTTGCACTTTTTATTTTGATATTTTTCATCAAAAAGTAAAAACAAAAAGAACTGAACCTCAAAACAACTAATAGAACAACAAGTAGAAACCGTGCCTCCTATCACCATGAGTGACTAGAGTCTCATCTCCACAGTTTACCTCTCATGTCGATGCTTTCCGGAACTGGGACCCATTCCTCTTCTGGAGGAGGTGGAAGAGCAGCAGGAGGTTCCAGCTCCATAATAGCGATGGTTTCTTCCTGGTCTGTGACTACTTTTATAATGTAAAATGTATGATTAATTTACAGTTTTGATAAGCACAAGTGATTCTAGCTTAATTTAATAGATTTATTCAAAACAAAACCCAAACTATGGATATAGTAGTACTTGTACATTCAGAGAAAATACACTCAAATCAACTTTAAAACTAAAAACCCATCCAGTTTTTCTCCAATAATTGAATTTCTTAGATACACTTCAATGTAGCCAGAAAGAAGATATTCTTTCTGTTAATTACATTATGAAGCTCTCTTTAGGGTATGTCTTGGAACCCTCAAAGAAAATATAAAACAATTAGGACTCAGTTATAACCAGAACTTGTACTATAACAGCAACAATGATAGCCGATACTGGTTAAAATTGTTACTTTCTGAAATATGACATGAGACATTTGAATTAAAATGTAATACCTGGAGGTTGCTCAATAGCTGAAGAATCTGACATCATGAAGCTCCTTAGGTCTCCTTATTCCAATGGTGAAGAGGAGTCCCGGAGAATGTCAGCAGAGACTGAAGAGATACTTCCGCATACTGTTCTCCGAGAGTTGCTGTGAAGTCCAAAGATAGCCTAAGGTGGGGTAGCTACTTACAACTGTATGATGCTTACTTGGGTAAAAGCCACAGGGAAAATGTGAATCAATAAGTGGAATATATTTCTCATCGGTTGGCAAAGGTAAAAATTGTCCTAAAATTATATACGAATAGCCTATGTACCACAGTAAATGGTGTGTGCAGACCACACTTTATCATTCTGGAAATAAGACCTTTACAGAGGAAAAAGTCCTGCCATTAGAAAAAAAAAAACACATTGAAGGCAAGACATAATATATCTTGAAACTGAGAGACCAAGTATCCAGATGAACAAAATATAAAACTAAATACCATAATAGGTAATCTGTTAAAGATAAATTTAAATAAAAGCCTATATAAAATGGCAAACTAAAGTAGAACATCAATTAATTAAAATGTATCAATGCTAATAATTATAATGTTTAGTTTGAAGTTACTTATAATCCCTCTTCTCTTTCTTCAAGTAAAAACCAGCTCTATCTGTAGAAACATACTTGGGTAACCACCAACAATCTATTTTTGCTCTTCTTTGATTCACATCACAGAGCATAACATTTTTAGTGGCTAGACCGTATGTAAACGTAAATAGACATATAGACTCCTTAATGGGGTTAAAACCTCAAAGAAGCTAATATATATTTTGACCAGTCTGGTTGAAACCACAAGGGTTCTTCTCCACAGTAAACTTCAGATAAAGGCATCTGTCTTAAATTCCCTGTCTTGCCATGTCCAGCTCAGATAAAACAATTTTACAAAAGTAAGCCTAAAATAAATACCATATTCATGGACCAAGAGTAAGTAAACTATAAATTCAAAGGAAGAAAATGTGTTAAACCTCAATATGTGATTATCATTTATTCTGAACAAATATATAAAGATAAATATGTATTATCCAAATCAAATAAATTCATTGTACTTCATAGCCTTGCTCTCTGACTAGCTACCTCTCCCCCTGGATAGTTATATGTCCCTTGAATCTTTTTTTTTCTTTCTCTTTTTTAACATTTTATTAGGGGCTCATACAACTGTTATCCCAATCCATACACACATCAATTATGTAAAGCGCATTTGTACATCATTTCTCAAAACATTTTCTCTCCAGTTAAACCCCCGACATTAGGTCCTCATTTTCCCCCTCCCTCCCCGCTCCCCCCTCCCGCATGAGCCCTTGATAGTTTATAAATGGGTATTTTGTCATATCTTGCCCTGTCCGACATCTCCCTTCATCCACTTTTCGGTTGCCTGTCCCCCAGGGAGGAGGTCACACACAGTTCCATGTAATCAGTTCCCTATTTCCTACCCATTCTCCCTTTACCCGCCCTGTTTTGCCACTCACACCACTGGTCCTATAGGGCTCATCCGTCCTGGATTCCCTTTATTTTCAGTAACAAACTCAGGGACAAGGGAACAACAAGCGATCCAAATTGGTGGGGAGGTGGGTGTGGGAGACCTGGTAGGGCAGGATCAAGGGGAACGTAACAAAGAGGAAGTGCTGAAATCCTGGTGGGGACTGAACGTGATAGTGGGACAGGAGGAGAATCAAGGGAAATAGAGGAAAGAGCTGGGAGGCAAAGGGTATTTATAGAGCTCTAGATAAAGACATGTACATATACAAATATATTATATGAGGATGGGGAAATAGATCTATGAGCCTACATTTATAGGTTTAGTATTAAGGTAGCAGAAGGACATTGGGCCTCCACTCAAGTACTCCCTCAACACAAGAATACTTTCTTCTAGTAAATTGGCATTCTATGATACTCACCTTCCCGACACAACCGCTGAAGACAAAGCAGGTGAATAAGCAAATGTGGTGAAGAAAGCTGATGGTGCCCGGCTATCAAAAGATAGAGCGTCTGGGGTCTTAAAAGCTTGAAAGTAAACAAGCAGCCATCTAGCTCAGGAGCAACAAAGCCCACATGGAACAACATATCAACCTGTGTGATCACGGGGTGTCGAACGGATCACTGAAGACAAATGGGTGCATAAGCAAATGTGGCGAAGAAAGCTGATGGTGCCCGGCTATCAACAAGTATAGCATCTGGGGTCTTAAAGGCTTGAAGGTAATCAAGCGGCCATCAAGCTCAGAAGCAACAAAGCCCACATGGAAGAAGCACACCAGCCTATGCAACCACGAGGGGTCGAAGGGATCAGGTGTAAGGCATCATCAGAACAAAAAATCTTACCATAGTGAATGATGGGGGGAGTGTGGAGTGGAGATCCAAAGCCCATTAGTAGGCCACTGGAGATCCCCTTGCAGAGGGGTCTCGGGGAGGAGATGAGCCAGTCAGGGTGCGATGTAACAATGATGAGAAATACAACTTTCCTCTAGTTCCTAAAGGTTTCCTCCCCGCTCCCACTACCATGACTCGAATTCTATCTTGCAAGACTGGCTAGACCAGAGGAGGTACACTGTCCCTTGAATCTTAAAGAGAAAATAGTTCATAAAATAAGCTAGAAGAAATATTATATGTGTATATCTTTTGTTGTTAAAAAGTAAGTTTTATAATCATGCGTATTTGGAGTATGTTTTACACTTGTTAATATGGGCTCATAGGACCAGATCCAAATTCAAAGAAATTGCCACCCAGTCTATTCCAAATCATAGTGACTCTATCCTGAATCTGCAAATCTTTATAGGATAAGACAGCTTCATTTTTCTCTTGTAGTGTGACTAGTGCGTTTGAACCATGGACCCACAGCACCAAATAGGGCTAAGGGGAGAGGAAAAAGTCATTGTTTGCTTCATTGTTAGGTTTCATACTATATGTATGTGTGTTATACTTATCACTGCTCAGTTTTGATTGAAGAAACACATACAGTGTTTCAATAAGAAACCATTTTGCAGGTAAATATTTCTTAGTGAATGCTTATAATATTATATTTAATTGGTAGGATTACAAAATGGTATAACTACTTTTAAAAGAAAAAGAATGTTGTTTCCTTAGAATTTGGAAAAGTAATACCACATGAGACAGAATTCCTCTAGTGGGAATATATCCTACTAAATAAGAACCATAACACAAATAGATATATGCATATTTGTGCTCATTGCAGCACTATTCGCAATAGCAAAAACTATGAAAACAACTTAAATACTCATCATTAAAAGAGTGGATAAATGAGTACATACACAGAATGGAATATCATGCAAAGTTAAAGAACAATGATGTACCTGAAAAACAGCTCATAACATAAATGACCTTGGAGGCCATTATGCTGAATGAAATAAGCTAATCCCAAAAGGACAAACATGTAAGAAATCAGTATTATAGAAAGTCAAGAAAAGATTTTAATTTTTTAAAAAGATTTTATATACAAAAAGTAAATTCTTTGATTGTTACCAGGAAAGAGAGGTGAAAGGAGAATAAATCACAAACTGAAGAGTAGATATATATTAACGTGGGTGAAGGGAAAAGCAATCTATAATAAAAAAAGTAATCAGCAAAAAAGATGAAGACACTAAGATGAATGTAAGAGTTAGAGGCAATAGAGGCATAATTTATTGTGCATACAATTTTGAAATAATAGATAACAGGGTGCATAGATAGAGATACATATAAGATAAACAGGTATGGAAAGAAAAATATAGCTGTTCCCATAAATATATAGTTCTGAGAGAGGGCATTTCAGCATATGTATTTACGTATGCTGCACATCTATCCATGAATATAGTGAAGTATACAAGGGGCAAAATGATAAAAACTTCTTAGCCATAACCAAAGACCTTGAGGAAATGGGTCTCTGACCCTGAAGCATACCAAGGTCAATTGACATACAGAGTTCACAAAGGCAATGTTCTACATTCGACTTTGGTGAGTAGTCACTGGGGTCTTACGTGATTGTATTCAGACATCTAAGACGCAGCTATTGGGTTCTTCTGTCTAGGGCAAAAACTGAAGAAAATTGGTGTGTGTGGAAAGGAGGTGGGGAAAGGGAAAAAAATGATGAAGATAAGGAAGAAATGGGTAGCGGGGGCACGGGGTGCTAACCCACCCAAAGGGAGGGCATTGTTTATATCTCCACAAGAAAAGAGGGACAGGACTTCAACCCATTGTTCCAAGGTGTGAATTCAACATGCCGGCGTGGAGTAGGGAACCAGTGGAGAGGTCTGGGGTGCTGGCCCCAGTCCCAAACACTAAGTGGATGCCTTCCCCTCCCTCCAGAAGAATTTATTTCAAAGAACAGCACTGAATCCAAGGCTCCTGGAGAGAGACATATCTGATCAGAGCACACAAGAGCAGATGATGGGGGAGGAGGAGAGACAGGAGCACACCCTGGCCCACTAGACCTTGAGGACAATGACCCCAATTAGAGCAGCCAGTCCACAGAGAGGACCACATGGCCAGC